GATGGAAACTATGAAAGGCCCTTAGAAGTAACATTTTCAGACAAGTCCAATACTCTGATGGAAGCCATTAGAGAAGCAGACAGAAAAAGAAAAATGCCACAAAGTGGCTAAAACAAACTCTTGCCCAAACTATTACAGTATTTGTTTGTCCCGCAGACTAACACTTTATTCCCTTTCCTCTTATCAATTAGGTTGCTTTGCACAGAGTTGTTTTCACTGTTGGGAGTTTTATGTACCATGGTAAAGAAAAAGGTTAACCAAATGAGCCATTTTTAAGTAGACGCTGTGTTTTTCTCCACCACAAAGCATAGCAAAGTTCTTCCATCACTGGGCCTGCCTTAGAATGCCGAACAACAGTTGGTTTCAGCAGTTGTTGTTGACTCGCAGAGCTATGCTGCAGTTGGGCAACTCCTGTTCTCCATGTCAAAGCACACACCACATGTGTTGGCTATAAAGTTAGTGAAACACATCACTAAGCAAATGTGTCGAAGAGAGGCTCAGCAGGGCAGATGGGTGATGCAATCTGTGCTAACGCTGACAGGTGGGACGGGCAGGGCTGTCTTTTGAGGCAAAGCACACGGGGGGGTGTTAATACAGTAGAAAACAAATACTTTCACCAGGATGGTGCTGGGTTCTTTTCACGGTCTCCTCCTGGTTGAATCTGCAAATCATCGACAATATAGCAGACTTAAAACAGACACAAAATCGCATGGGGAAAGATGTACATTCCTCCCTATGATGTTCTGTATTTTATCACGTAATATTAGGTTCCAATAAACAAGCTCAAAATCCTATTGATTGCCATAATCCCATTAGACAAATCCATACATAAGTTTTTGAATTTGCTACTTGGCGATGTCTTCACTGTGGAAAATCAAATGCGCCTAAAAAAAAAAAAAGGTAAAATAGTCCTTTTTTATATATCACTGACCAGACTTTTTACAAACTATACCACTTTTTTATCAGAAATCCTTTAGGTACCAGTCTGAATTTAACAAAAAAACTCCAACAGAAGAAACTATTTTAACTCTAACTTTTGAAATAATAACAATCTACCTATCTGCTGCTTATCTCCTGCCTGCTTAATCCAGCTATATCATTATTCTTCGAGTGTCTGTGTAATCACCTATCAGAGTCTTCAGCAGCTATCAGCAGCTGTCGTTTGGGCAGCCACAGGCACAATCTAACCATTGTGCATGATGTGCAGCTGGCACGTATATGGAATGCTGACACCCAATGAATCAATCACAGCCCCTCCTTAGTATACCAGACTTGGGCAGTGATAGAGACAGATCCATCACAGCTGTAATATGGATCCTGGCTGCCATAATCCTCTACATGGCTCAACTTTCACCTCAGTCTGACCACTTGGAACCAATGATCACTCTAAACTCCCCCCTGTAATTCAATGCATTCACGAAACATAATAAAAATGCACGGTGCATCATATTTATAGTCTAGACATGTGAGACAGGCTATATAAGGGTTTTTAGTCAAGTTTACTTGTACAGGGTTGAGCCTTTCACCCAAAAAATTGCAAGCTTTTTTATATTTGTTCAGAGTTATCCTTGGCTTTGTTGCTTGAACTTCAGTTACAGTTGGATTAGGTCAGCCATGACCATACGGACTTCAGATGAAGGCTACTTGATTGACCAACTCTGGAGGCCTTCCAAAGAGAAAATTCTTATTTATTAACAGAACCGACTCTGGTTTCAAGCATGAAAGCAATAAAAGAGACTTTTCTTAATATCAAACACACACAAACGCCCATAAACTCGTCACTTTTGACCACAGTATCACGTTGGAAGAAGCTGGGCTTGTTTGCCTCGTTCAGTGGTTGAATATTACCCAGAGGCCAGCACTAACTGGTTCTGTACTATAATGGGGTATTTCTTGAAACTGGACAAGAGCACAGAGATTTCCATTTGAGCTGCTGACTAACCAACTATGATCTGCCAGCCTTTATGAGTGGCTGCCATGCAAGCAGCAGCATATCAGATTATCACAGCCACTGGTGCTCCTGAACCCTACCAAATGTTTGATTTGGTTTTGCTATCTGAAGACAAAATACAAGGGTTATAACCGTTATACTTATACTTCTATGAGCCAGCTGGCCTCAACAATCCCACAGTGCCACCTGCTGATCCACTTTTGTTATTGTGTTTGGGACCATAAATGGCCACAACAGATGGAGGGATATGGGGCGTCTCACATTGCACCATAATTTAGTTTTTTTCGTCAATGAATCGACTAAACAAAAACAATAAACCCTTCAAAATTTGCAAATCAACAAGTCGCTCCCGTGTGTCAATAATTATAATAAAAAAGGAGAGCTTTGAAAATAAACAAAGAATGAAAAAGAAGCTTATCTTAATTAGTTAAAAGGTTCCTTTCACAAAAATACAGCAAATTCTTGAAAGAAAAATATGATTTTCACCATTACGAGGCACCAGTTTCATTGCAGTTTCAATAAATAAAACCAAAATTCGTAATGAATGGCACCAATAAGTAATGTTCACTATAGTTTTACATGATTAGTTGAATTAAGCATTTATTAATTTGGGAACAGAGTAAACAAACTGCAGCAGGGGAATTTGTGCTATTTCTGTTTACCACGTGATTTCACCATCATATTTTCCAGTCTTTCTCGTTTATTTTTTGTCTGAAAGACAAACTGACACATTTACTCCTCTTACAGAGCCTGTATCCACTCTCTATCCAGTTTAAATTAACCTGCTCCCAGAAAATTCTTATTTCTATTAATGTATGGCTGGAAAAACAAAGACATTGGGTGGTCTTTTGACAGCACCTTCTTACGAAATCAGCCAGTGTTGAGATAGTGTTGGAAACAGGAAAAGGTATGAAGTATTGTGGTATGAGATTGTTTTACCTCTGCAGGAGAAACAAGACGTTCTGGTTTGAGTGACTGGCCGACTGCATTTCTGTCAAAACTGGATATTCAAGACGTTCCATTACCAAACTCTGTTGGACTTCTGAAACAGAACTTTTAAAAAATTAATCAACTTCAGCAACGTTGCTTTAAAAGTTATCAGTTTGAACACTTTAGAATATATTAAGGAAATATCAAGAACAATACTAGTGAAAACTTTTTCTTTATCGTGCACTGTATCAAGAATTTTAAATATGTGGGGACGAAAAGCCTTTAATTATAATTTTCGTTAAGTCTCCAAGATGGAAACCGCCGGTAGGGGGTGCTCGCGCCGGATTCTCTAAACATTGCATCTTGGTAAGAGCGCTCCTCAAAGGATAGTTATGATTCTCTAAATATTAGTTATCCACAAGTTATTCGACCCGAAGGTAGTTACATTATGTATTGGATATTACTCTATGTCAGGTAACCACAATTTAATTTTGATTAGGGAAGAAATAAACATATTTGAGTTAACTGTTGCCAGTCGTTCTTATGCAGGTCCCGTATGCTAGCTAACGGCTAAATTAGGTGGTCAGGTTTTATAGATTAGCATTAGCCGGTGTAGCAGCCGTTTCTCCTTAACAGTTGAGCTTTAAACAGCTGAAAATGAGAACTCTAAACATGTCCCACCGTAGCTGTCATTGTTTTCAAAGTTGAGTTTGGCAGCAGACCTGTAGGTGTTTTTCCACCGTAGCAGGCATTTGTTTCCCCTGACTGATAACGTTAGCCGGCTAATGCTAGCTTGTCTGTGAGGCGGTCCGGTCCTTAGTTACTGTTTAGCACAGTTCAATGTCACTGGCTCGAAATTAATCAACGACGTGTGCGTCTCCAGCACAAACGGCCACGTGATATTTATGCGTCAGTATACGCGTTTTTTGTTTGTTTGTTTTGTTTAAACAACCCATTGTGGTGTTTTGGAGCTGTCAGGAGCATGGCTAGTCATCTGACATCATAAATGTCTTGTTGAGGGGGGGTTCGAAGGAAGCTTCTTTCACGAAAATGGCTTTGTTCTCCTAATCTACGTGCTGCAGACAGGTGGTGAGACACAAAGGTTAGATATGCGTTGTGAACCCTTTGGGAAAATGCTGTGTGTAAAGAGATGATCGTGGCTTTTGCGACTCTTTCGTGTTGAGGATCCAGTTGAGTTTACGTGGCAGTTTGTACACCACTGTCCAAAACAGCTGCAAAGTGGTAAACAAAACAAGGGCTTAAAGTGACGCCCTGATTTCCCATGGACCCGCTCTGGCTTGTGTTGCTCGACAGAGATATGTGCTATTGAAATAGAAGGGTCTATGCTTGATGGTCTTGTGGGGGTGTGTGGGGGGGTATTTTTAAGGACAAACAAAGGTTGGAGGTCAGTGAGAAACTGAGACAGAACAAGACAGAAGGGGGGACGCACAGTTTAGTCAGAGGTAGGCTAACTGGTTGCAGAAGTATACATTATGACTTTGTGGTGAATATTAAGTGGTGAATGTTTATTTTTTCCTCTCTTCGCTGCTAATCTTTTTGTGTGTATTATGGAATCTCTTGCTGCCACTCCTCAGAAGACCTTTTTTGGTTGTTTTTTTAGCTTTCACCAGTCATCAAGCTGGTTTAATACTTGAGCCACATGACTGACACTTTAGTTTAGTCTTGCTCTTACTGTGTTTGATAAAAACTTTTTGGGCCTTTGAAACGCCTATTAAGACCTCAAAATTTCATGTGCAGAGATATTGATAAAGAATTTATATGATTTGGTATTTTCCTTAAGGGCAGTTGTGGGAGGGTGTAAGGAGGGGCATGGATAGAAAGAATGAGGACTGGTAGGTTTAGGTCTAAGCACCTCTCAAAATACTCCCACAGCTTAGATACAGGGGCTACTGTAACAGCAGAGCTGAGTTAGCCAAGAGAGCAGGTGCACTTTGAGCTCGACAGTTTGCTCTGGTGTTCTGTTGTCTTCTAAACCAGAGCTGCATTACTTTTTGCTGTTGTGATCACCAGGTTTCAATGGTATGGACTTTATGGGATCCATGCAGACGACAAAGTGATGGTCTAAGGACTTGCGGTCAGAGAGGTGCTTGCGCGTGGAATGTTGCGCTGGTCGGTGCACCTAGAAGGAGGGCCACGGAGAGTCAACCATGCTGCTGTGGCGGTGGGGCACAAGGTGTACTCCTTTGGAGGCTACTGCTCCGGGGAGGACTACGAGACACTGCGTCAAATCGACGTGCATGCCTTCAACACAGGTGTGTATATACCTGGCTTTATGTTCAGGGGATTTCATAGAAATCCTATTTCTCATCCTCATGTTTTAATTATATTGATTCTCAAAACAGTGTTTGTTGTTTTCAACCTTTTTTAAAAATGACCGCAGTTCATCACTGTCCGATTCAAGAAAACAAACAAACAAAAAATACGTGACTTTTTTTTGTTTCATGCACTCTTAAAAGTTAGAGGTTTGGATATTAATGTAGATTAGGTGAAATTGAAAGCGTACCATGTCTGCTTGGCAGTGACTTAAAAAAAAGAATTAAAACAAGAAGGTAAGAGTGTTTTGGAATTGTTCCAGCCTGCACTGTCTTAGCAGTTGCTTCAGTTGAACCTAAGACTTTCCTTTGTGGTCAGGGAAGTTGCCTGTGGTAATTTTTCAGTTGCTAACTCACAAACACAGGTGTTTTCCCTTAAATGTCTGCCTTGATTCCTTTAGAACTGCTCCCCTTTTCTTTCTTGCAACCTATCTTAGAGTTTCTTCTCCTCTGTGGTCAGCCACCTGCTACAGGGACTGCTGCTGCTGCACTAGCTTGGGCGTCTTTGCTGTGGCATGCGATTGTAATGAAAACAGGACACTCGTGGATGTTGTTTCTGTTCTCCTGTTCACCATAAAGCTTTTTTTAACTGTTACTATTGAGTTAAAATGTACCCCAGAATAATTGGGGTTTCATTTAGAAAAACACATACACAATTTAAAAAACAAATCATTATATAACCGTTTGTGTCTTGACTGTTTTGTGTTCAGTGTCATTACGCTGGATGAAGTTGCCTCCGGTGAGGGCAGGAGGAAATGAACGCGTCCGTGAAGTGCCGTACATGCGCTATGGCCACACAGCTGTGCTGTTGGATGATACAATCTACCTCTGGGGTGGGCGCAATGACACAGAGGGGGCCTGCAACGTGCTGTATGCCTTTGATGTCAGTAAGTACACCCTCATCTAACCGATACTGGCAAGTCTATTTCCTCTCAGGTGCACCCGTTTGATGTTAAGTTTGTGATAGCAAAAGGGAGAGAAGCCCGTTTCTATGGTGGGGAGTGGTAACACCTGCGCATATGTGATGGTTCTGCATTGTTACATCTGACACAGATGGTAGATATGTACTTTATAACCTTTTCCTCTTTTAAAGACACCCACCGGTGGTCCACGCCCAAGATCTCAGGGACAGTCCCTGGGGCAAGGGATGGCCACTCAGCCTGTGTCCTGGGGAAGACAATGTATATATTTGGAGGATACGAGCAATTGGTGAGTCATCACTCTTTACTGTGAAAGCTCATTTCAGCAGAACATTGAAATTTGATGAAATTGGCCTCTCCTGGCTTTTAGGCTGACTGCTTCTCGAATGACATCCACCGGCTGGATACCACCACCATGGTTTGGTCACTGATTAATGCCAGAGTGAGTTCAAATGAATTCAAATGATAATCATGAATGTAGCCTTGGAACACTCATTCAAAGAAATACTAAACTGAAATGGGAACAACTTGAGCTGCCTTCAAAGCACAGCTTTCCATTAACAAAACTCTCTTTATTACCAACATTGGCAGTGTTTCCACATATGTACCCAGTGATCAGAATGGCTGTTACAAAATCACTACGGTGTAATGCAGCTAACTGTTAGGTAGCCAAATGCGAAAGCTCACAGAGGATTATGAACGCCACTCTTTTAGAATGTTACGTGTCTGTGTGTGCACTCAGCATTGCTCCAGGATTTTTAATGAAATCCTTTTTTTCTATGAACGGTTTACAAGCCCCGTTTGCATGATGATTTTTAGGCTGATTAATATGCAAAGAAAAGTACTCGTCTGTCCGTCTGCTTAAAATTCATGAGAAACAATTGCAGCACAGAGGAAGGCACGTGAAAGGCTTTAGCAGGGCTGCAGGCCAGCGTAATGCCAAGGAGTAGAAGCTCCCCATTGTTTGGTATGGCTTCATTCACTGGAGGCAGATCGCATACATTTTACCGTTTAGTTTGTTAAATCTTTATGGTTTTCTCATAATAGAAACCTGCTGTATTTTGATTCTTAGGCTATCTACTATTTCATCATGTACAGTACTCCTATTACTGTTTACAATTTTCAGAAAAAAATGTTTTTGCTTGAGCTGTGGTTTGAACTTTTGTGGCTTTTTGTAGCCGCTAAATAGTTCCTCTAGATGGAGCTCTTTGCCTGAAGTTGTTTTGTCTAGACTAGAGCAAAGGTAAGGCGAGTTTTTAGGTTTTGCATATGCAGACTACATCCATCTTTCCTGGCCAGACATCTTTATCTTCCTTCACTCATGTTTAAGTGTAGCTGTCACAGCACCATCTACATTCCTTGTCTTAAAGGGCACCCCAGCACGATGGAGAGACTTCCACTCGGCCACCATCATTGGGACAAAAATGTTTGTGTTTGGAGGAAGGGCAGACCGCTTTGGTCCCTTCCATTCCAACAACGAGATCTACTGCAACAAGATCAAAGTGTTTGACACAGAGACCAACTGTTGGCTGAGCACCCCTTCCACCCAGCCATTGCCAGAGGGGCGCAGGAGTCATTCAGCCTGTAAGACACAAACACAAAGAAAATGTTGTGTAACAAATAACTGAGTGTCACTTTTATGAACATTTTATTTTCTGTGTGTGCCTTAGTGGCACATTTATTGAAATTGGTTTTATTCGTGAATTTCAGATTTGCAAAAAGACATTAACTATTTGGATCTTTGTCTGATTTGTGTTTAGTTTCCTACAACGGGGAACTCTACATATTTGGAGGATACAATGCCCGTCTGGACCGGCACTTCAATGATCTGTGGAAATTCAACCCAGGTGATATTTTCATCTATATATATTTTTTCAATTTGAGTAAAAGTGTGATATTTCCGTGAAGAGCTCCATCAATGGTATTATTCCTGGTAGCATCTGGTCCTCTTTGGATCTTTGGAAATCCTGGCCCATCACTGATTACATCCCATAAAAGGAGAAGCAACTGCTGAATTGCGTTGACCCGCTTTTCTCCTCATTCATTCGCAGACAACGCTCTTCCCTCTCTTTGCATCACTGTCAGCGTTGTGATAGCGGCCGGCTGCTCCATGTTCACTATGCACCGTGAAACACAGACCCCCTGTCAGTTAGCCAGAGGCACGCAGACGAAAAACTGATGATAATAAAGACTCTGGAACCATGTCAAATGCTTGGAGATCAGGTCTCCGTTTAAGTGACTTTCTGAGGAAACTTAGAACTCTTGTTACAACCCAAAATATCCCTGTCATAGCTGAATCTCCACACCTGGGCTATACTTACTGACAATACCTGTCAGACATTATTAACAATTATCAATGACATTATTATGTGAAATTATTATGTTAGTTTATTTTTGGCTAACTTCTGCCTGACCTTTATGCAATGACAGTCCAACTTTACTAATCTCTGACATTTAAGTTAAAATCCCATCAGAGATTTTGTGTTTGAAGTGGCTTCTACTTAATGAACCGAAACTCTACTAACTATCCATGCTTGTTTTTTCCAGCCCACTAGATGGCAGCACATTGACTAGAATGAGGATCTAAATCTGAAGGGCCTGTTGCTATAGAGATGTAGTGATGCTGTGTCAGTGTGAAAGTGAGGCTACATTTCAGCCTTTTATGGAACAGAAGGGAGAGCTCCAACATCCTCACTCACACTGTGCTTCAGAGCATTAGAGAGGATTTGTGTCTGTGAAATGTAAAGTTTCATATTCACACGAATGTCAGCTTTTGTTTTCTTTAATTGATTCTTTTCATTACTGTATCCACAGGCCTTGTCTTTTGATAAAGCAGCCAGCCGAATTAGCTTCAGGGGGAATTAAGAACATTATTAGGTTTATGTAGCTTGAAGTGGTTGAGAATTTGAATAGCTTTTTTTCACAATGTGGCCCCCATTGGTAACCATTTATTGTACTGGGGATTCTTCTGTCGCACCATATATAGATAGAAAGTATTCAGATGTTTCCCTGAGATTTCAAACTAAACTAGCCGGGAGCAATTATAATTTTTCATTTCTTTTTCGATCATCGTGTGTCATCTGAGCTTTTTCCTTGTCTTCCGTGTACACACTACAGACGCCTTTTGCTGGAAGAAAGTAGAGCCGAAGGGCAAAGGCCCCTGCCCGCGGAGGCGGCAGTGCTGTTGTATGGTCGGGGATCGAATAATTCTCTTCGGAGGAACTAGGTAAGAAGTACAAACTGTTCAAACTCAGAATTTATACACAAATAGAGGTATCATATTAAAGGTTAACCCTTGATCGTCCATTTACCGTAATGTGTCGGCCTAACTATCTGTGAAAAAAACATTCATTTTAGTTTTTATTCCTTCTAAGAAATAAGATAGAAAATACAAATGAATATATTCCTATCCTTTTTGGTGTAGATGGTAAAGAACAAAATCAAGCATTGTTAGTTTAGGCTTCTTTTTGGTACTTCTTTAATGGGTGTTAGTTTAACGGTTCTAGATTTGTTTTGTTTTTTAACAAAAATCAAGATGCAAAACCTAAACCTTTTTCGGTGTGCAAAGCTTTTCAAATGCTGACGTAACTCATTGTCATATCTCTGTGGACCAGGCATAATGGGATACCAATGCTTTCAACATACGACAAAACAATTTGAGAACCTTTCTTATTTACCTGCTACAATTAATTAGTCATGTATCATTCTTGACGTCACAACTATTTCTGTCTGCGGCACCGTAAAAAACAAGGCCTTTATTGAACTCTTGCTTCTTGATGCTCTCAGATGGTGGTAGGAGCACTTTCACCATTCCAGAGATCTGTTTTCTTCTTTAGGAAAACATGAATGCTGCAGTAGAATAAAACATTTCTTTCACACCTAAGCAAAACACTTAACACAGCCTTTCTAAGAGTGGCTGCTACTGCTGGTAACCTTTCAAACGATCAAGTAACGGTGTGTCTTTGATCAGATGCAGTAATCCATGCTGTTATTGCTTTGTTGTAAATGCCTGATTTGAATGAGCAATAAGGAGCCACAACAAATAAAAGGAAAAGCAACCTGGGTTTTTTAAATAACTTGTTTTTATTGTAAAGGTTCTTCTGAGGTGGCACTGAAAATTAAAGTCTGGTATTGTTTTTTATACCCTTTTTCAGTAAAACAATCAATTCTGAAAAAGTTTGTGAAAAACAAATGTACAGACTGACCCATCTCCCATCCTGATGAATTATATGTAGACATTCCTGGCAGCTCCAATTAGGCCTTTCAACAATTTTGGAATGTGGCAAAAAATGTTTAAATATCTTTTTTTTTTTTAAACTTTTTTTTTTTGTCCGTTGAAAATATCATAGTTACAGACTATCAGTATTAGTTTCTTAAAAAACTTAGAACAACTCTTTCATCTCTTCTAAATCTTCCGCACGGAGGGCCTGGCTCCTGGAAACAGCTTACTGTGATGATCTCCGTTGTTGGCTGTGATACAGCAGTGATAACCAGAGGCTTGGAGCTGGTTAGGTGCCGCTGGGCTGGTGACGAAACTGTGATAGGCCAGTAGCCAGCAGAGTAATGAGGCAGCTTATGCTGTTGGTATGGTCTACTGTAGGGTCTAGGTCCTGGGCTACTGTTATCAACTAGACTGCTGTTATCAGGCAAAACCCCACAGGGACAATTTGATGGTGGATCAGAAAACTGTGGATAAGGTCCATTGAGTCTCACTATGTCTACTAGCACTTAAGTCCTGGAGGCCCCTGCTGGATTGATTTTTCTAAAGCTTTGTCAAGCATCACATTGTTCTGTGTAACACCAGTGCGTAGGCAGCACACCTTCTGAACTTTATTGCATTTTCACCCCACTAATATATTAACATTTAGAATAACAAATGCGTCATAAAAGAGACTATTTTGGGGAAGAATAGGGTTTATATGAAATACCTACTCCTGCAGTTATAAAAATAAAAATGTAATCATACATTTCTGGTTGCATTTGATGCTATTTATTTATTTATTTATTCCCTGGGATTAGTCCAGAATGGGTTTTAGGGGAATCATGATTTCCTGTTTTGAGCAGATAGGGCTGAGGCTGGAGAGGGGAGTGTCAAAGAGCTAACGAAGGGTGCAGAGGAAGAAATCAAACACCACTTAATATCTCTAACATCCTGTTTTAAGGTCAGAGACTAGATTTTTCTTTCTTTCCCCCTGAATACATTGGGCCAAAACATCCACACATAAACCAGGTACTCTCATTATAAGAGGAACACTTTTGTTTTGTCTGCAGCATTCCTAGAATGCAGGATTTTGCTCTTAAGTAGTTGTGCTGTTGTTTTAAGTCGTCCGAGATCCTGTTTTCTGTTACTGTACAAATTAGAGAGTGATCCTCACAGGCAATGGGCGAATTGGCCACACAGGTTTTTTTACCACAAATGCACACATCAGTTGTTTACAGGAGCACGTTTAAGCCTCTTACAGACAGGAACTCCCATAAGCACATGCACAGACTAGACACAAACATCTTCTTGTTAAGCTTAATTCTTTGCGTTTACCTGCTTTTTTAAAACAGTTGTTGAGGTTTTAGGGTTTTCGCACCACTAAAACAATTAATAAAAGATTGTATTCTTTTCATTAAAACTGCAGTTTAGGTGCCAGTGCTACCTGTGTGTTTGCCTATCTTGTTTACGTTTGCTTGACCCAATAATACAAGGGCAGTTAACAGGGCTGCAAAGTTATTGCTGGCTGCCTCACTGCAGTTGATAAATGTTTTGCCGGTCTCCATTAATTATTTGCTGGTCACCTTGCTGGTGTTTTCTTTTTGTTTTTTTTTCTCATTTTGGTAGGTTTTTCAAGGAGATTTCGTTAGAATTTATAGTCCATGTCTTGTTTTCTTGGCTGGCTGTCCTTTCAGGCTGATCCAGAGCAGAACCCCTCCTGTTGATATTCTCTGTTTATGATATTTGTTTTACTTGCAGGAATTTGTTCAGGAGTAATTTATTGTGTCAGCTAAAGACAATAGACTTCATTAGTCCAAGAGGACTTAAAAACAAATTCCACTTTGGACATTAATATTGCAACATATGAACAGCAATTGAAATAATAATCTAACAAATTAAGTATTATTTAAAGGGGACAGATATGAGCAGAATTGTTGTGTATTTCCAAATCTTTATTCTTTTATTGAGGTTGATTGAGTCTTGATTTGGAAATTTTGTGCATTACATTGTATATTTGCTTCCAGTGAAACAGGAATAAAAGGAAAAAAACAGAGTGTACTGTTTTTGATTATAGTGAGAAAACTGTGTGTGTAGTCATGACAGGGTGGCATTAGTGGCAGTCCTTTAAATGCCACTCGTGTCAATGTAAACAGGCGTACTGGGCTGCAGAAAGGCGCGAAATTCTGCCCTATCTGTGATTTATGACCTTAGGGAGCATTCTTCCTCAAGGAGTGCAATTTGATATACCCTCAGAGCCTCTGTTACACTCATTTACTGAGACCTGCTCACCGCCCCACGAAGGACAACCTACGCATGACCAACTCCACCTGCACTGACCTTCACCTACGCACACAAGCAATGGGCAACTAAAGTCTGTATATTTGGAATATGTATATGTTTTCCTCTTTAGGAAGTAACCATTTCTTAGGTTAAGCTACATATAAAGACAAGAATATATTTGACAGATATTTTAAAGATCCCATGCCGTAAATGGCTGGCAATCACTACCCTCTGTGTTAAATACTACAAGCGTAGTTTGGGCTAAATCAGGAATCAGTTGGAGCTTGGGAACAGGGCATCCTATGAGGGGCAGGATGTGAACAAGGACATAACAGCTTGGCATGCTGGGAGCAGACAGTTGAGAATCTGGAAAGGGAACTCTTGGCACTGGGCCTGAACTACTTGGACATGACGGCGTTCATTCTTTCAATGAATCCATTTGTGTGTGCGGGTGTGTATTTATATGTGAAGACAGATACGATGTCTTATTTAAATCATCCCTTTATGCTCAAATGTTATTTTATATTTGAAGGCTGTTTATTTTTTTTCTTTAGTATGTCAGTATCTAAATGTTGTGCCATTCTATTCTTCTGTGCACCTTTTATGTAGGCTTCTGATAGTAAGTGCTCCTAAAATGGTTTCTAAATGTATTTCGCTGAGAGCAACGGGGTCCTGTAGTGGTCGTTTCAGCTCTATCAATGGCGAAGTGGCCATCAGAGGTAATCGGTCCTGTTTGATGTCATAGCTGTGCTTCAGCAGGCCAGGTGAAGTATCTGCCCCTCAGTGTGTCATTGGTGTGAGCTCTGACGAATGGTGGTAAAGTTAGTGGCACCTATTGATTTAATTTTTTGTTTTTCCAGATTAAAAAATAACTGGCAGCTTGTTAGACCTGACAATATGGCCATTTTCATCACCAGCAGTTGTTTGTCTGTGCCAGATGCTGTCTCACTGTCATGAAAAGGTTTAAAGTGAGTTTTCGTCATCACATTATTTCACACTTTATGTTTTTTTTAACCTTTTTTTTCACTGATCTGGATAGATTTAGGAAAGTTACGTCCAATATGAATTAGCACCTTTTTTGGTATAAAAAAAAAAGTTTACTCTAATAGAGTTAAACCCATTAGAGGGGGATAATTAGTGTGGTGTTCATAACAGTATTTCATAATGTGACTTTATTCCATGTTTGAAAAATGTATTTATCTCTTTATCAACATTTCGGCAAAGCTCCTTTTAAAAATAGCCGACCCTTTGTTTCTGAATTTGGATGACATCAGTTTGTAGGAGCCCGTCATCGCTGATACTTTAGGTCCTGACTCCTGAGTAGTCAGTGTTGAAGTCAACACTTTGACTGTGTGTACTAGTACATTGAGTTTTGGCACCTTTTCAAATCTGCCAGGTCTTAAGATATCATGTTTCACTGCCACTGAATATTGGTCCGCATTGATTTATTCGGAATGGCAGTGGGATGAAAAGATGAGATCTGCTGCTGGCATCTTTCCTGTGCAGGGACCTGAAGTCAGTCCTGTCCATCTCACTGTTCCCTCCTCTCTGTTGTAAAGTGTGGCGTTCTGGTTTGTTTGCATTTGTGAGAATGGACTCACATGACTTAATGACTCATAGCTCCTCTCGTCGGGCCAACGTCAGCGGGGTCCTATGCTGTGCCAATCTTATCTCATTTTTTCCATTTGGCAGTAGGCAGTCACTTAAGGATTTAGGAGCAATGGGAAGCATGCTGACGCTAACCTAACATGTGAAAACATTTTTATAATTTTTATTTTGCGTCGTTTTAAAACAAGAACTATTCTGTTGCTGAATTCTCAGCCTGCACCCCTCATTCGTTTTAGTTATATGGAATTGAGACGCGTTTAAGAGCGTGTGGCTACTCTACACGCTGAGCAAGAGGGAGACCACATGGCAAGTAATCTCACTGCTAGCCAAAACATCTCAGCCCATTTAATCCACCAAAATCTCACCCAGATATTTAATCTTTGTGGAATTCAACTGGTCATTTCAAAACACCTAAGTTGTTGAGGCCAGACAGGTCCCACAGAACTCTGTCATTTTGTATAGTAGTTCAGGGAGGTCAGAAGCCTGGTGCCTTGATATCTCCTGCCGGGCCATATTGTGCCTTATCAATGGCTGAAAGGGCAGCTTATGATAGTCCAGCTGGGTGTGGTGTGGCTTCTTATCACCTTAAAGCCTGGCAGTCAAATAGTTAGACTAAACACGGAATGGGATTAAGAACAAGAGAAACTAAGAAATAAGCAAAAAAATCATTTAGTTGTCATTGCGACACCCTCCACTGATATAATGAAGCTGACAATGGGGAGCATGGCTCCATGGAAAGATGCCTGTCAACACACCGTAGATTTTGGTTCCACACATGTTGTCTTTTGGCCTTCAGTGTCAAAGGGGAGGCTGCAGAAGTTTCCTTTATTGTCTCTGTGTTTGTGTGTGTGTTAGCATGTCCGAGATAAAACCTGTCAAACAGTGAAGGCGACCTAAACAGGATGTGTGGCATCCCGCACGTGGCAAGACAAGACCTTGGTGCAGCTCAGCATCACCGTGATTTACTCTTCAAAGACAAGCTCATGATAGTATTTCATCTTCATCTTAACCCTCCTTAACCCAGCAACAGGCTGTATACATTATGGTGACACTGGGCTGAGTGTTACACGGCAACTCAAATAAACAGCCTGCGTAGGTGCTGCTCTTCGATGCTGGGGTCCGTGTACATTATTTGATTAACTGCTGTCAGTGCAACCAAAACACATCTTGCTGATTTCTGCCCCCCCTGTAGACTGTGCAGAAAAAGTACAAATTACAACAAAAAAAAAAGTTAAAATAATTGTTGGATGGGGCATATTACCATTTCGTGAACACATTTTCTTTGACTATTCTTTTGAGTAGTTTGGGAATGAATGAGAACAATTGTACAGTTTTAGCTGCCCAACAGTTCTCAGTAGTCTCTTGCTCCAACTACAGTTCTGGGTAACACCCCTGTCATAATAAAGAATCTCCATGCGAAACCTCCACAAGCATAAACATTCATTTGTTTCCATGCTGAAGACACAATAAACTAAAGGCACCATTTAAAAAAAACTATCTCTCAGCCTCTCTGTTCCCAGTGTTTGGGGGCATCAGTCTCAACAGATGTACTTTAGTTAGTTTTAATGTTACCAAATGAATGTCAGCCTTTGAAAAGCTTTCCAGTTTTGGAATATAAAGATATGTTAGTCAATAATCCAGTTATTGGTGACATAAAACACATTAATTTAGCATCCAAAAAATCTCTGTGCTGTCCATGCTCAGTCTAACAGACCTCCAGTGGGTTCAGCAGTGTGTTCTTTTGTCCTCCTGACCTTGATATTGCTCCTGCTCCAGGTAAAGAGGGTCACAGAGGAAGGAACTTATTTTCCCAAAAGGTACCTGCTATTAAAAAAAGCTTCCTCGCAGTATATAAACCAGCTGTTTTCAAGGCCCAGAAATATTTAATTTCCTCCTCCTCATTTTATAGGCAGGCAGGTTGATAACAACCCGTCCTGTTAAACGGTATGAAATATTTTACGATAAAGGGGTCTAAACTTCCTTTTGCTTGAGATTTGTTGCAATAATTTAGTTCGCACAGGGGAGAAATTTGAGAGTCATACCTCATTAAGAACCAGCATCCCTCTTCCCTCTAATCAGAAGTCAGGCGTCTCTCCCTGGGAGCCAGCTGGAGCTCGTGTCTCTCCCCTCTGCATGGAGTTTGGTTCGTGGCAGCTGCAGGTCTTAATCCACTGTTCAGCCACTGCCCGGGAGGGGGCCCAGATAGCTTGTTAAGACAAGATGAAACCACCAGAGATTAAGGCAAAAAAGATGGACACAAATCTATCGATCTGTGATAACTCACTTTATTGGATTTGCTCAAGAAAGTTTAAATTTCAAAACCTCTGCCCACTGTCGTTGGAATCTTAAAAGCACTCTAAACCCCATCTTATCAGATAATGTGTATAAACATTGTAATCTAATGAAAATGGTTTTGCTTTTGAGCGACTTAAGAAGATAAAGTATAGTAAAAATGTGCTATTACCATACACTTGTTTTTTGCCATGCATTCCTTGGTTTTTAATAACGAGCTAGTTGCTTGTCAAAATATGCACAAGTTCAGGTCGGCAAAACAAAACAGTTTGCAGATGCTTTCCAGGATTTTACCTGTGTTTGCGACACCACATCAAATGTGCCACTAAAATAATTTGATGTCTGGCTATCCTGATAAGGTGCTTTGCAGGAAGTAGTTGTATGTGATGAGTTCCTGAGGGTTAGCTGCTTGTGAAGGAGCAGAGTTCAGTAGGAAGTGGAGAAAGGAAAAGGATGCAGATAATATCACTCTAAGAATGAGGATTTGACCAATGAGGACTCTGAAAACATGCTTACGAGTGGACAGGTCAGGTTTAATGCCTCTTCATTTTGGTGTTTTGCTATTTGTTTAGGTTTTTCCGAATATTTTTGAGCAA